CTAGAAGAACAGAAGATACTTCTTGAAAGAAAATCCGACAGGAAAAATACAAAACAATAATGGCAGTCTGACTGACTACTACAAGAACAAGCAAGTTGCTCGCCCAGGAAATATCAAGGCAAGCGGTCGGGTCCCCTCAAAGCAAACCCCCTTTCAAGACTAAGACGCAATGGGAATACATGAGCAGACATGCGTTCTGACTGGTCACCATTTTGGTCATCTATAAGAGGAAGTGAGGGAAAAACAACAATGAAGCAATAAGCTAAGCCCTACCACAGTCAATAGACTCCTTTGAACCCAGGTGGAGACCTGTTTGGCCAGCAGTGTGGCAAGACCTGGGGACTCCTGGGCCCAGAGTCAGTGACATAGCCAAAGGACTAGAGGAGAATGAAGCATCCAGCTGATAAGAGGGGGCATATGCACAAGAACACCCACACTTACAGATAATACCCATTTGACCTGCCTTCAACGGCTGGATGATCAGAATTCAACAAGAGGAAAGAAGAGGGAAAAAAAGAGTAATCCAAAACACTTTGATGAACTTGACTTACACCTATGGATGCAGTAGCTCAAAAGAGGGAACAAATCTTTACAGCAAGGATCATTCCCAACCCCCTTGATACACAGGGTAGACAGAATGGGCAACTTGGACACTGGCTATCCAAAGTGTGTGTGGAGGGGAGGGGAGACTACAAAGGCAAGAAATGACTGGCTTACAAGCTTTTAAGAGGGAGCCTAGATCCAGAGGGCATGGAAGAAGGTAGAATCTCCCTGGAGTAGTATCCAATCTATTTGGGTGGGGCCGATGAGATGGAGATGGACCTCATGTGGTACAATGGTGAATGACTGTTATCAGGACTGACTGCGAGGGTTGGAAACGTAAAGGTAGACATTTTGTAGCAAAATGAGGGGTGTGGTTGACTATGCAGTCAAGGAGTGAAGTCCCTGGGGCCATCAAGGCAGAAGAGCGGAGTACGGGACCCTACCCAGAGAAACAGTGATTCCAGAGCTGGGGGTGGAGTTGATGACATGGAGAGATGGAGCAACTGGAGACTCTAGACCCAGAGAGGGTGAGGGGCTATGTGCTGAAGACCAGGGGGCAGGCTTGTAGTGTATACCCTTTGGTTGGTTGATGATGTATGGAGGGGATTGTAACCATGGCAATGAAACGATATACAATAGGATGAATGTAAAGCTAATGTGTTCTCATGTAAACTATCACATAATTCACAATAAAACATTTTAAAAAAAAATAAAGAAATACTGTGTAGACAAAACAGCAATGGACTTTAGGCCCATGGACTGAGAAAAGCAGTGAGCCTGTGGACAGGAGGCTGTCTTGCAAAATGTGCCCTTTGGACTTTTAAACAAATATATATTAAATAAATATATGTTTACAATTTGGTATGTGTACACCGGAAAAAAAAGGTAATTGAGATAAATACCATTGGCTAAGGGTGCGTGGAGGGTATTATAATTATTACAATGATCTGCTGAATGGAGAAAAAAAAAGTATACGTGGGGATTTTCAAAATGGTAGGAGGGGTGCATGTTAAAGGTATCTTTGAAATTAGCTTTGTATACTTAAACAGTAATTTTATTAATTTAATCTCACTTTATTTTTCATGAAAATCATTATATAAAAATCTGTTTATATCTTAATTTATCTTCATATAACTTTGTATCTCCTCAGTTCTACTGAAAATAAAGTTCAAAATATTGAAAAAATAAATAAATACTCTGTAGAAGAGGAAGTCCTACTTCTTTATCATGTTAATTGAAAGCAGTTAGAAGTCAACTTTGAATAACCTCTCAGGTACAAATACATGAGAAAATTGAGTCACAAGGAAAATAAGCTTATTCTATTCCTCATAAGGTATTCTCTTAAATGTCATCTATCTGAATAAAGGACTCCTGGTGGCACTGTAGGATCAGTCCTGGGCTGTAAACCAAAAAGTCGATAGTTGCTATGAATTGGAACTGACTCAACAGTACTTAACAACAAGAACATCTGAATAAAATACAAACAGGACACTGTGTGCCTCCTTAACACAACAGCCACTGACTTTGGTATGAGATACTAATTTCACTGTAGGGAATTCAACAATAAATTCAGTGAAAACAAGGATAAAATGGAATTCTACATAATGCACCCTAAAAAATCAAGGAGCTCTTATAGTGATAAGGATGCTAACCACAAGATCAGCAGTTAGACTCTACCAGTCCCTCTTCAGAAGGAAGATAAGGCTTTGTCTGTTCCCATAAAGGTCTACAGCCTTGAACCCTATACAGGGTCTCTATGAGTCAGAACTGATTTAATGGCACAGCACCAGCACCAGCACCAGCACCAGAATGAATAAAGCAATTCATTTAAAACAATGTTCTGGAAACCTGATCTCATCTAACTTGACCGTCCAGTAACAGTCTCCTCTACAAAACTAGGCACACTGTGAAGAACGTGTGAACACTCCATGTGAACTGTGTTAGTGGAGGAAAACATTGCAGATAGAGAAAAATTTCATTGAAAAAACCAGTTGCCCAATGAATTAATTTCATAGCAACCCTATGTTGTTGTTGCTAAATGTCGTCAAGTCAATTCCGACCCATAGTAGCCCCATATAGGGTTTCCAAGGAGAAGTTGGTGAGCTTGAACTGCTGACCTTGCCGTTCAAACGGCTTTGCAGTCTGGCGCATTAACCCACAGTGCCACAGGAGGACTCCTAGAAACCATATTGTTAAGTGTCGTCAAGTCGATTCCTACCCATATTGTCATCCTGTATAGGGTTTTCAAGGAGCAGCCGTTTCCAAGGTGAACTTGAACCACCAACCTTGCAGTTCAAATGACTTTGAAGTTTGATGCATTAAGATACAGCAAAACATCTCTGTAAATCCAAACCTGTGAATCTTTACAGAAGTAGAATGCCACATCTTTCTCCCTCTGAACCACTGGTGAGTTTGAACTGCTGACCTTCTGTTTGCAGCCAAGCACTTTAACCACTGCATCACCGGGCCTTCATTCTCAGGCAGTAAGGAACAATGCTCAGAGTATGGCAGTCACTTAATAAAAACTCTATGGTTTTACCAAAGGCCCTAAAGTCTTAAATGGTAAGAAATCACATATGATATAAAGCACAGTGAGATATAACCTGTCCCAAAATGCTACTGCACAGAAATAGAATTTTCAGATTCTATACCTAGAACTCAAGGAGTTCTGGTAGCACAGTTACAAGTTACAAGTTGGACCACTAACCACAAGGTCAGCAGTTTGAATCTACCAGCCACTCCTGGGAGAAGGATGAGGCTTTCTGCGCTCATAAAGATGTACAGTCTCCAAACCCTATATAGGGTGGATATGAGTCGGAACTGACTCCACAGCACACAACCACCACCATTACCATATATATCATGTGGTGTGTCCCTGGGTAATGTAAATGGTTAATGCACTGTGCTGCAAAACACAAGACTCGAGGTTCAGGTTCACCCTGAGATACACAGGAAAAAAAGGCCTGATCATCTACTTCTGAAAAGTCAATCACTGAAAACCCTATACAGCATAGTTCTACTCTGACACACAGACGCTGCCGTGAGTCAGAATCAACTGTCTGGCAATTGGTTCCAATTTATTCACATACTTCAGAATGTAGATAATAGATAAGAAAGCAGATTCCTCAGTACTCTCCTCCTACCCAGCACCATTATTAATGATACACTTCTTTTAACTGAAATAAACAGTGACAGCAAGATGTGATATGAAGGGCTTCAAAATATTAACAGAAAAATGGAACTGAAAGATAATAAAATTTTTCCATAAACTTTTTTGAAGTCCCCTCACATAGAAGACTGAATGCCTTTAGCACAAATACACAATTTTTAAAATCTGTATTTTTATTTAGATTATGGCTTATTAATAATAACTTTCCTACTATGCACTTAAATCCAAAAGATTTATTTAATCTTAAACATGCCCTCATGTAGCTTGAACAAATTTACTGTTTCCAATAAAAATATAAAAAGCACTATTTTTCTCTATAAAAAAGTACCTAACTTACTTGCCATGTATAGAATTTATGACTAATCTGATTTGAGCTTGATAATTACCTAATTATTATTAAAGTTAGCACAACAGGCCAATACTTCTAAGAGCAGAATTTGGGGATTAAAAGAAGCCAGGAATATAGATTAATATGTCACATAACATAGGAATATCACCATGGAATAACTTTGATAATTAGATTTATTGTCTTCAAAATTGTAGAGCACAAACTTAAATCAGTAAAATTTCACAGTAGACTTTTCAAGTATTTGATTTTTGGCTTATGGTAATGAAGTGTAAACCACTGCTATTTCCAACAGTATGCAAAAATCACACTTGATTTAAGAGTTTTCATTTAATAATTTAAATTCTTCAGAAAACATCAAAAATGAATTACCATTGTACTATAAACAAGATCAAACTCTATCTAAAGCTACAGAAAAGAGATGATCCCCCAAAGCAGTACAAATCTCACATCCTTCAAAGACAAATGTACAGAGAAATCATGAAAAAGATATTAACAGAACTGACCTGTCAATTACAATAAGAGAAATAAGAAAATGTTTTTAACAGAAATGATCCCTGGGAAGGTACAGTTTTGAAAGGTAATGAGGTGCTTTAAAAAAATTTTCACTTGAAAATTCTGTGAAGGCTCATTATTGTTCCATTTGATTATTCACAAGATGTGCTCTTCTCAAGAAGCAGCTTCAAACAGCAGTTCTGGAATGTCAGTTGCGACTTGAGTGCTGCATTAACATACACAAGAAATGTGTGTTATTAAACCTATAGGCAAAGCCTTTACCTCCTCTGAGAAGTCATCTATGAATACTACCAGCCTTTTAGATCTGCTGGGTTTCCTGAACACTTATACATCCTGTCGATTGTAGAAAAAGAAAACTTTTGATGTTCACATCCACTCATGATCAATATAGTGACCCTGAGTTCCAAAATTAAAGCACATACGCACAAATAATAATAATAATATAACTTACTGCCATCTTCAAAGCTTGATCTAGATCCTCCATCAGGTCCTTTTTGTCCTCTAGGCCCACAGAGAGTCGAATTAATGTGTCACTAATTCCAAGAGCATCTCTGTCACTCTTTGGCACAGATGCATGGGTCATGATTGCCCTGAAAGAAAGAGTGATCACTCTATAGTGTCCATGGAGACATATTTATGTCGTATGTACAGCAATTAGCTTCAATTTTTTCTCTACTCCAAATACCAAATACTTCATTTCCCCCATTTTTCTACAGGCAGAAATAAGAAAAAAGTATCTTGTCTAGTCATGATTTTGAGTGAAAACTGGACATTTCGTTGGTAGTTAAAGCATACTCTAGCCATATATGAAGATACCAGTCAAGCACCGCCATGCAAGTGGGAAAAGCACAGCCACCAACATTTAGATTTCCAGAACTGCCTGATAGTGGTCTTGTTGTGAAGTCACACATACCCCATGACAAACCAGCTCCCTAATTGACTTGTGTGAGGCCTCTTAGACCAGGAGTCAGCCAGAATTCATTCTCTCTGCATTCGCAGATCAATCCACAGCTAGATCTTTTGAATCAGAGGAGGGAAAGATTGCCTAGGATTGTTGATTTGCAAGAATCCCAGTGTATAACCAATGGCATAGAGGTCCTGAAAGGATATTCCAAACTATCTAATAATTTAGTAACAGCAAAAGCATGTATAAAGGCAAAGCATCTACTATGTATCTAGGACTGGAGTAAGAACTGGGAAACCAAGAAGGAGATATTTTCTGTCCAAGACTACGTTGTTGTTGTTCAATACTGTCAAGTGGCTTCCCACTCATAGCGACCCTGTATAGAAAAACAACTGGTGAGTTAAAACCACAACCTTGTGGTTCAAATTTACCTTGTAGGCTAGTGCTTATCCTACAACACCACACCAGGACTCCATAAAATACAATAGATGACAACAAATGCTAAATAAGTATGAATGTTGTTGTTGTTAAACACTGTCAAGTCAATTCCAATCCATAGTGGCTCTGTATAGGGTTTCCTAGGAGAGGCTGGTGAGCTTGAACCGCAGACCATTCGGTTCAAACTGACATTGCAGCCCAATGCATTAACCCACAGTGCACACCAGGAGCTATCAAATTTCATAGAGAGAAATCTCTGTGGGCATAGGCAACAGGGAGGAGAAGTTTGTAGCTTCACTAAACCCTAACATGTATATTGCTTCCAATACTCATCTTTCCCTCCACACCATGGGCAAAGTCACTACCTAGTGCTTATCCTACAGTACCACACCCTTATTGTGAGCCCTGGTGGTGCTGTAGAATAAGCAATGGACTACTAAACACAAGGTGGCTATTCAAACCCACCAGCCACTTTGTGGGGAAAATAGGGGCTGTCTGCTCACTTAGAAAGTCTCTGAAACCATACACAGGGTTGCTATGAGTCAGAATCGCCTCGATGGCAGTGGGTTTGGTTTTAGCGGGGCCTCCTTTTTTGTGAGCTTGGTGTCTGTGAGTGGTACATTTAACATACTTGACTGCCAACAGAAAGGTTGGAAGTTCAAGTCCATTCAGAGATATCTTGGAAGAGAGGATTGGTGATTTACTTCCAAAAAATCAGCCACTGAAAATCCTATGGAGCACAGTTCTACTATTGACACACATGGGGTTCTCCCATGAGTCAGAAACAACTCAATGGCCAGTAAAGGTAGTATCGTATACTTTCATGAGGCAGATACTCTACTAGTTGAATTATGTGTACTAATTCCTTTTTTAAATTAATAAAAAGCATGTCACCAGCATTAATTTAAGAAACATGCCCAAAACACTTATGCAGTACCATGAATTTAGCTGATTTGGTTTTTCTATCCAGAATCTTCTTCATTCCCACCAAATGATTGCGTGGGAACATGCACATAGGGTGTACAGGACTCTAACACCAGAATTGGTTAGTTTTAAAGGTTTAAAAGGAGTCATCTCAGAAGCAGGAACAGAAGATCACAGAAGCATCAAGAATCAAAAGTCACAAGAAGAGTGCCAGATCTTCACCTGGAAAAGCAGAAGCAGTAGCAGAGGCGGCAGCATGCAGAGATAGAGCAACTGCGGGCTTCTAGGTGCATGGACAGAGTAAAGCTACCACCTACAGGCCGGAGGCTGGCTGCAAAATGTGCTCTTTGGGGATTTACCAACAGGTTAAAGGAGTTTTGTAACACTTGCCAGAGCAGGGCAGAGGCCAAGGAGCCACATGGCTAAGAATCTAAAGACAAGAGAGAGGTATGGCTGCAGTAGGGCAAAGAGTGGTTTCTGACTGGAGAACTGCCACATCCTGATTTGTTTCTGACCCTGAATTGTACTCTGTTCACTTCCTTACTAAACCCCATTATTGTGAGTTCCTGGTGTGGTGCTGTGGGATAAAGTCCTGGACCTCAAGGTCCATTTGAGCCACAAGGTTGGCAGTTCAAACTCACCAGCCATTCCTTGGAAACCCTATGAGTCCCTATTAGTGGGAAGCGACTCGATGGCACTTAACAACAACATTTCCATGATGGATTATTGAACTCAGATGTGAAGCAAAGAGTGCTGTGGGAGGGACGGTTGGTGTCAGAATAGGGCAAAGAAGGCTGAAGGGTGAAGGTATGTCTGGCCCCCACCCCGACTTCATAGGTATAGACCTTGGGCTGATTTTGAGCTTGATTATCCTTCTTTGTGAAGCTAGAGGAAGTCAGTCAAGTTCTCCACGCCATTTTTGCAACCTGGAGTGTTACGTGCCATCAAGTCAGTTCCAACTCACAGTGACCCTGTATAGAGTTTTCAAGGAACAACTGAGAGGTTTTAACTGCCAACCATGTTGTTAGCAGTACAGTGCTTACCCTACAGCACCGCACCAGGACTCCTGCAGTGTATTAGGTGCCTAATAAAAATAATTCATCATGGGAGTTAGCATTTATTGGGTATTCAGTAGAAAACAAGGCATGAGTTCCAGGATTTTTATTTCTGTGTTCTCATAACAACCCTATAAGCTTAATATAGTATCACTGGCATTTTACCAAGGAGGAAACTTGGTCTTAGAGATGCTTATTGTTGTTGTTAAGTACACTTGAGTTCGTCCAACTTACAGTGACTCTGTATATGGTTTCCAAAGAGTGGCTGGTGGATTTGAACATCCAATCTTGTGGTTTGCAGGCCAGCATTTATCCTATAGCACCACACCAGTATAGGTAATGTTTATAGTCACATTTAAGGTCACAAAACTAACGTGTGTTGTTAGGCTGGGAGACTAACTTAGTACACATTGGGCTTGCTTCCTTGCTCCCTATTGCAGTGCTTTCACTGGTTGCAGCAGAGTTGGGAGACACCGAATGAAGGGTAATAGGACAAGCTATGACCTGAATTCACTTGTGCACTGGCACTTGTGTGACAGACGAAGCTCGAATATCTGGGTCAAGCAAGAGTAAGCAAATCCCTAAATAAACCAGAACAGGTCTATTTTTAAGAAGGAAATCTTAAAGTTATTACATATTTTACAGGTATGAGAAATAATCCAATTTCATATGCTGAGTATGCCCTCTTGTGCATCCAGAAATACTAGCAGGAATCTTCCAGGAAAACTGATAGAATGCCATGTATGCTATTTCAATTATTTTCATTCATTAATTGGGCATCTTTGGGGTTTTTTAACTTTGTGAAATTGCCTTCTCTCTCTCCATGAATTGCTAACTATTTTGAAAGGGCAGGAAACATGCCCAAATTTTGGTAAAATTCCCAGCACAATGCTTCCACAGCATAGTTATTCCATAAATTATATATGAAAATTAAAATATATAAATATACCAGGTGAAAAAGTACAGTTGAAAATTATTAGGTAATGGTATTGATTTACCCCTGCAGTACTTACAATATATGGTCATAATTTAAGGAGGCTTCAAAAATCTGTGGACAATTTTCATTATCTTTTAATTTCAGTTTTCCACAAACTTTTTAAAACCCCCTCTTACAGTAATGGAAAGATATGATTTAGGAGTGCTTGATGGGACAGGCAATCAGCAAATGATAATCATTATTTTTATTATTTATTTTCATTTTACAGATGAAAATTTTGAGTAATTGGTATAACTTTTGAAACAGCAACTGGTAGAACCCAATTTAAAATACAGGTGCTGGTTCCTTTTGCCTCCTATCACTGTTTCTAATACGAAACCTTAAGAGGGAAGTTGCCAACATATTCTTATGTGGCTATTTTTATTTTTTAACATATTTCTGTGCAATATTTGAGTAAATCAGCTAACCTTTCCAGATCTTTGTGTCTTTCTCTATAAAACAGGGTGTGGGACTGTATAATCTTGGGCTCTTCAGATAATGAAGGACTTAGAAGACCAATAGATTTTAGAATTATCATGGAAATATGGTGCTATGGCTCTTTTTATCCCACAGAGAACAGAAAATAAATGAATTTCCAAAGATCTAGTAGGACTCTTCTCTGATAATCAGGGGTGTGGAGGTGTTTTATTGGAGACATATTCTCAGGGAGTCTTGAAGCTTTCTCAATAATCGCTAACCAACTTGGGCAGGAAAGAACACGTGACCCTAGATCAGAGGTCAGAGAGCCTATTCTGCAATCACCATTGGAATCTCCTTCAGGTAGACCAAGAAAGGAAACAAAACTTGGAAGGATGCACCTCACCCATAGAAGCCCACCATTAGATTTGGTGGCACAGTTTGTACTTAACTTCTAAACAGGATGACTTTCTGTCTCCTACTTTGGCCATGTTATCAAGAAGGACCAGTCCCTGAAGAAGGACACGATGCTTAGTAAAGTGTAGGGTCAACTAGATGGATTGGCAGAGTGGTAGCAGTAGTGAGCTCAACTGTAACAACAATTTTGAGGATAGCACAGAACCTGGCAGTATTTCATTCTGTTGTTTACAGAGTGGTTATGGATCAGAACCAACTCGATGAGACCTAACAACTAACCTAAAGGTTGGAGATTCAAATCCACCCAAGAGTACTGTGAGAGAAAGACTGGCAATCTACTTATGTTATGGTTGTTGTTGTTAAGTGCCATCAAATTAGTTCCAACTCACAGCAACACTATAGAGTTCCCAAGGAGCAACGGGTAGATTTCAACTGCAGACCTTGCAGTTCAAAACCACCTTGTGGTCCAACAATCCTATGGAGGAGTTCTATTTCTTAACACACAGGGTTGCCATGAACTGGAACTGACTCCATGGCTACAGGTTTGTTTGGCTTTTTTTTTTGCCATTCTGACTGTGCTAGAGTCCATTCTGAGTAATTAGTGACATATTGTTGTTAAATAACTTGAATTTTCCAAACAATCATCAAAACTGGCATCAAGGAGAGAAAAGGGGCAGCATTTGTTCAAAAATAAAGTTCAGAATGCCAATGGGGCACCCAGAGAGGAAGTGGGAAGAGTGCTGTTACATTGAGATTACAAACTAATGTCAGGAAACAAAGTGTGTATGAATGTGGAGTGAGAAACTAATTTGCTCTGTACTCAAACCACAACACAATGTTAAAAAAAAAAAATGATATCAAAGTTAAAATACATAAAACAACAGAAATATACTTACGGAAGTTCAGCAAGACTTTCATATCCTCCCAAGCTCTCAGCCAGCGTAAAAAGCTACAGCAAAAAAAACATTATATATATAATTTTTTAAATTAGTACAAAATTAAAACAAAATAACTTTTTAAATCCCTTTCATACATGCACTTAACCCTTTAAGCAAGTAGAAAATAATAGTTGTGTTTAGTGGTATAGTGCCATAAAACTTTATAAATGTTTAAAAAGTGGATCTCACAATTACATTAAATTAGGTGCATATATTGTCTTTCTGATTTTAGAGGTAGACAAATTTGAGACACCATGGTGACTATGACTGAGCAAGATGCATTCTATATATTCTATTCATTATCATTTACCAGTTGGTGATTATGACTCTTAGTAATCCTATCTGTGTCAGAGTAGAACTGTACTCAATAGTTGATTTTTTTTGGAAATACATGGACAGACTTTTCTTCAAAGGCGTTTTGGGTGAACTTAAATCACTAGCCTTTGCAGCTAAGCACATTCACCATTTGTACCACTCAAAGTGAGATGTGCAGTGTTTAAACCTGAGTCTCTAAGTATTGTAGGGACTCAAGGTAAACCTAGTTTATATATACCCTTCATAGCCCCCTGCCTAGCAAAAATTAGGAACAAGTTCCCTTTCCTCAAGCCTACACAGACACAGACTGAGAGGCACAGGGTTTAGAAACACCAATGCTCCACCAGATTTCAGAGCATTCTTTGTGCAGTTCACTAATCTCATTCATATTTGGAGGTTTTACAAATTCTTCATTTGTAAAAAGGACTCACTTTTAAATAAATGTGAAAAACACTGTACTAGAATATGCCCGCTCTCTCAAACTGATTGCAATATGTGGAGAGTTAGCAATTGAACATAATCAGACGTCTACTACTGCACCATTATTGTTTCATCCTATTCTTGGACTCACTTGCATATATAAAAACAGTACTCTAAGTACAATGAGAGAGAGAATTACCTGCTATAGGAAAGTCTTAGGAGGTTCATGGGTGGTGCAAGTGGTTTACATTCAGTTGCTAACCTAAAGGTTGGTACTTTGAATGCACTCAGCAGAGCTGTGGAAGAAAGACCTGGCAAACTGTTTCCATAAAGATTACAGACAAGAAAATCTCTTGGAGGTCTACTCTAACACATGAGTCACCATGAGTCTGAATCTACGCAACAGTAACAAGTTTGGTTTAGTTTTAAGAAAGTCTTACATCTACAATTTAAAAATCTATCTTGCATGTTTACCTTTAAGTTCTTGAGGAAAGTCTCAGCATGCTGAAGACTGCCCTTAATAAAGAAGGTGATCATCCCTGGACAGCCTGTGCACTGACGCTTCGCCAGCTCATGCTGCGGGTGAGATGGTAGTCCTGGAATCAAGGCATAATGAAAGTCTTATTTTAGGACCAAACAGGTAACTTCACAGGAAAAAATAATAATAAATTCAATGTCCACTTAAGTAAATTTCAAATAAGACCTTCATGCTACTCACATACTTCTCACTGACTGACTAGCTCATGATCTGACACTTGGTATTTACACCAATAGTATATAATGTATTATCGGACTGTTTTGTGCCTTATGAACCTATCTCTGGCAGTAATGAGCACAAAGGTGTGAGGTAAGGGGAATGCTGGCTGTGAGGATTGAGATTACACATCAACTTGACTGGATTATGATTCTCAGTGTTTGGGCACTTATGTAATGATGTAGGCAGTCTCCATTTTATGAACTTATGTGGCTGGCCTCCATTTTTGCAAGACACAGATTTTCACACAACATCCTTAAATCGGTAAGTGCGGAATGGGTGTATTCACACCTACTTGTTGTGGCCGCTGACTATTTCTCCAGCTTAATTTAGACTCACTTTTTTTCTACCTTCACTCTAGCCACACACTTATCTTTCCACCAACAGTACCAAATTCTTTCATGTCAGGGTCTTTGCACATGCACAATCCTTAATGTGGAACACTCTCCTTCACTCTTTTTGTAAATTAACAGTTTATGATGTTATCCTTCTGCAATTTCTTGTTTAATATCTACCTATTACACTAAAAATTCAAGCCTCGACTTTCATTATTGAAAGATTCTCTGGGCAAATTACTGAATGATGCAGAAAGCATCAAGAGAATATGGAAGGCATACACAGCATCACTGTAACAAAAGGAAATGGTTGATGTTCAACCATTTCAAGAGGTAGCATATTATCAAGAGCCAATGATACTTAAGGAAGAAGGCCAAGGTGCATTGAAGAAATTGGCAAAGAACAAGGCACCAGGAACTGATGGAATAAAAACTGAAATCTTTCAAGAAAGTGAGGAGGCACTGGAGGCACTCACCCATCTCTGCCAAGAAATTTGGAAGACAACTATCTGGCCAACTGATTGGAAGAGATCCATATTTGTGCCCATTCCAAAGAGAGGGTAACCCAACAGAGTGCAGAAATCATCAGACAATCTCTTTGATATCCCCTGTGAGTAAAGTTTTGCTAAAGGTAATACAGAAATGGCTACAATCATACATTAACAGAG